AGCGCTTCCGACAACCGAGGAACTGAATACGTTTGAAGACTCTTCTGTCCGAATGGGCGGCTCGGAGGCTCTCACCGTGTCTCGAGTCCGCGTGAATGGCGGCTCGGATCTCGTCCCCCGACATGTTTTCCTGCAAGTCAAAATACAAAAACTAAGAATTTGTGAATATTGGAACCATAGTTCTTGGGAGAATGTCTGAATTTCCTCGGATTTTTTACCTGATAGAACGTGTAGATGTGATCCAAAACCTGAACACACGTGAAACCGGTTTCGCTGAAAAATGTCCGGGCAGAAGGTCCCGTCTCATCATATCCATCCATCGGAAACAGAATGGTTAGAATGCGGTTCTTGTATACCAGTTCCTTCTTCTCACTGCTGACCCGAAATACAAAATATCGATAACGGGTCACTGATTTTGACGGGGAACAAAATCGAAATCCGGTGTGAATTGTGAAACCTAACCTTAAAATAGTTTCGAATTCAAACAGAACCGAACTGAAAACTGACAGAGGAAGAGAGTATAGAGAAGCAGGTTTGGTTTTAAGTCGAGAGTATAGAAAAGTGGCTAACTTTGGTTCCATGTTAGATGAAACTGAGCAAAATAAACGACCCGAGAAGAGAGAAGAAATCGGTAAGAACCTCTCTGTGAGCAGTCTCGTGGAGTTGGTGAAGAGAGCGTCATTGGTTTTGGAATCTAAGAAGCAATCTTCTTCGCTGCAGAAACCGTCAGCGTAGACCGAAGCAGTTGATGTTGGCTCGGAGATTGTCCAACAAACGGAATCTAGAAGGCTGCTCGGTGTTATCGGTTGGATAAAGCTCTTTCCGATCTGTAAAATGGGAAATGGCGAAAAGGGCAGAAGGAAATGTCATAAAAGTCTCGATATTTAAGGTAGTTCAGTCTTGGAGGATGAAAGATGCAAATTTACATGCCTTTGTATGATGATTAAAATGTCGATTTCTAACACCCTTTTTGGCCGATTCTACGATCTTCTGCCCGTCTTTGCACGCCGTCCTCTTCGTTAGTCTCAAAGAATCTTCGGGAGCACCTTCCCTGCAAGATTCCTGGAAGAAATCAACATCAACTGCGACAGAATAACGAGATCGATGGTATATAGAGATCACAAATGAAAAAACAATCGGAGAAATACCTTCTCCACATTCTCAAGTGTCGTCCTAACATTCCGGGCCAAATCTGCCGACATTTGAACGAGCCTTTGCGTATGTTTCTCCTCCATCGTTTTCATAACCCAGCGTGGCTGAAGCATAACACATGTTATATATAACACATCAACGGAGAGTATAGGAAACAAGTTCGAGCTTACCGTGACAAGATTGCTCGTATGGCCGAGATATCTGTGCACAAAACCGCCTTCACAAACGACATGACTTGCATTGCATCCAACAAACCATTTGTTCACCATTTTCGCACCTCCATGAACAGCGATCTCTGAAACCTGCAGCTCGTGTCGTATAAAACCAGTATAGTTACAAAACTGCGATGGTAGAACAAGTTAACGGGCAAAAGACATTGAGAACCTAACCCGATCCTGTACTTCACGGGAAATGTTGGGATCGATATAGAAAGTGTAGCCCGAAAACTCCAAGCCCTTCTTACATTTGGACGCTGCTTCCTGAACTCTTCCATATGATTTCTCTACCGAATTACACGACTTATCAGTGACGCCAAAACTCACGAGCTGATTCGATTCTCCCGAGCACATTCTAGTTTCTCCGAGGCTTTTAACCGCGTAAAGAGACTCACTTAACCTAACTGCAAGCAAATCAACACCAGCCCATCAACTTCATCAGCCAAGCAACAAGATTCAAGACCCCATTCTCTCTATGTGATCATAATACTCTCTACTCACCATTTCCACGTACACTGTCCACGAACCACCCGAGAGTAACGATATGAACATCGGCCTTAGTCCCGTGCTTGGAGGCATGCTCAAACTTGCGGCCATCAAAGCTGTAAGTCTCATTGTTAAGAGCTAACAAGAAGCTACTACAACTTCAGAAACTTCATATATACACATATATACGTACGTACATACATACATACATACATACACATGAAGCATCAATTTTATAGTATGCTTGTACTATGATGTGGTTGGAATGAATATAAATGCAATGAAACTTGCGAGGATATCTGAACAACCAAATGGGTACACCGAGAATTCAGATTTGGACTGTATTCACCGCCCAATTTCTCAGTTGCCTCCATAACCTGCTTCCTTGCTTCTGCATTTCAAAAACCAATGGAGAAGATGATGAAGATAGCATAATGTCGTAGTTTGAT